CATTCTAATCTGTCGAGATTTAAGTGTAGGTATAATTTGATTGGGGCTAGAACAAGTACCTAAGACTTTCAGCGGAACTTTTAGATATATTTCGCAAGTTATCTAAGAACCCAACAATTTTGCATTGCCTTGGCTTGCGCTTGGCAATTAATTATCAGTTTTTATGTTCTCTAGCTCTAAAAGTTGACACATAATCATCTAGAACTTTTCTATTGAACTAAAAGCCCATACATAAGCCCAGACTAAGAGGCTGCAAAGGCAAACAAAAGCAAGTTGTCAGCGTGTAATCTCTCTTTCTCTCTCTCTCTCTCTCTCTCTCTCTCTCTCTCTCTCTCTCTCTCTCTCTCTCTCTCTCAGTCTCTCTCTCTCTCTCTCTCTGTCTGTAGTTGATTATCCTTGAAGGGTTTCACTTAGCTTCCGGTCGGGCCCAAAAGCGTTTTGAAAGCGACTCATTTTTTTTTCTTTCAGTCTTTTCAGTCTTTTCTTCTTCTTGTACACGCAAAGAATGTGCAATATGCAAGCGACAAAACTGCATGTGCATGTGTGTGTGCGTGTTTGTGTGTGTGTGTGTGTGTGCGAATGAGTGTACGTTTCTGAGCGAGATGAGTGTGTGCTGTGTGCATGTTGTGTGTGTGTGCGTGTGTGTGTGTGTGTCTTCTGTGTTGGGTGTTTAAGCGCTGCTTCTTCGCCAAATGACAATGCACAGAAGAAGAAAAAGAAGAGACGACGGCGGCGTCACACCCATAAAATATTTAAACATACTATTTTGATATCTATGCATGACGTTGAGCTGTGCGAAGTTGTTGTTGTTAAGTTAAAAAAGTTAACAAAAGGAAGCCGGGCAGCTTTTTGCACACCCTGCATTACAAACGGGCGCAAGAGGGGTATAACAGGCGGAAGTAAGCAGTTAATATACTAAACAAGTTCTTAATAATCGATAACAACCTCAATTGAGGCAAGTTCGATAACAATCGATTATGCGATTATTTTATAGTTAATAGATATCAAGAATGTTTCATTTTTGGGCACCTGCCCCCCTCCCCGCCACCACCCCTCCACCTACAGAATGCAACCAGAAAGATGCTAACGACCGCCTGACGCTGGTTGCAGGGTAACTTCTAGTCGTTCCATCCCGACTAGAGTACTCTTACATGTTTGTTGTTGTTGTTTTTAAGTATGATTGTTGCTGTACTGCAAGCAATTGTTGCTGCTGTTGTAGTTGTACGTTAATTAAACGCAACCGGAAACAGCAGCGAGAGCTGCTGGCTGATTACTCTACTTGCCAGGGGGGAAGGCAGGAGAGAGGAGAGAGGGAGCGAGCGAGTGAGCGAGCGAGAGTTGGCTTCGGTAGAAATCTTGATGCGTTCAATTAGCAGGGCTACCAAAAATATTGCAGCACATTTTATCCGCCAACCCCTTTTGGCCCATCCATGGTGAGTGAGTGAGCGCAACTGTTGGCCGTCAGCCAAAGGTGGACGACATGCCTTTAGGCGCCGCCACTTGTCTGAGCAGTCAGCGAGGCGACCAGGCGCGGCCGCAATTGGCCAACTGCCCCGCCACGCCCCGGCAACCGCCTCCTTAAGGTGGTCATGGCTGTGCTGTGTGCTGACGTAAACGCTTTAAATATGCATGCCATAATATTTATCTGTGCAAGAGTTGAATGCGCCACATGACACAATCTAAAGGCATCTGAAATCCGAACGATAATGGATGGATGGGTGGGTGGCTGGTTGGGGTGGGGTGGGGTGGCGTGTGGTGGAATCTAACCTCCACATGGCTAATCATAGAATATGCCAACAAAAATATGTCAACAGCAGCTAGCGACAGTCTGATCTCGTTTTTTATATTTTACTCAAGTGGAGCTGCTGCAGTTGTTGCTTTTCATTTTAATTATAAACCAATGGCAAAAACAAACAGAAATTATACTTAGGAGCGGCTTGTCGATATTTGTATGCCCTTTCAGAGATACTTCTTGATAGTTTATGATATTGATTATATATAAAAAACTGACTTGACTTGTGATCAACGCATAAAAGAAAGTCTTAGGAGCTGGGAAGCTGAGAGAGGGAGAGAGAGAGAGAGAGTGGGAGAGAGAGAGGGAGAAAAAAAGAGAGATAGAACGAGATAGGTCCGAGAAGGACCCACAGAGGGATATCTTTCTCAGACCTTTCTCTCTCTCTCTCTCTCTTTATTTCTCTATGCTATGCATCCTTCATCTCCACTGAGAATAACTTGCTCGGAGCTCTCTCTCTCTTTCTCTCTCCCATAGATAGCTATGCAAAAAGTTGTAACTCAGTTTCGTTTCTACAGCAAATGTTCTCCTGCTGCACATTGAACTCATCATACCCTTCAGTAAGGGTATATGCATACGAAAAATAAAAACCAGCCAGCTACGAAAATTGCGAGGCGGGCATACAAAGTGCAGTCGGTATTTCAAGTTGGAGTTTGAGTTTTGTTGGCGGCTGGTTTTATGAGTTGCTGTTTCAAGTGGCAAGTGGCAAGTGGCAAGTGGCGGCAGAGTTGGCCGCAATTACAGCGTCTGGTTTTCTGCCAGCTTTCAAAAAAAAAACAAAACATAAAAAAATACCACCAAAAGCAAATGACATTGAAACAAACAGCGTAGGAAAATGCAAAACAAAAGCAGAAGAAAACGAAAAAACATAGTAAAAAGTTGCAAATTATAGCTGAGATCTTTTTGGCTAACTGCCGCATGACGCATGGCTTAAAATTGTGGATAATATAGAGAAAATACCGTAATTTAAGACCTGAAAATGAAACCACAAACTGTGCTAGGTAAATAAATAATAAAATAAGCTTGAGGAAGTTTCTTGAAGCTGGGAATGCAGCGCAGAAATATGATTATAGATTTCTAGTAGAAACTGAATTTTGTAAACAATCAATAAGTTTTTGATAATAGATATCGGGATCGGGAAAAATAAAAAATAACATAAAAACCGTTTAAAATAAGGCAAGAAAACAAATGTAGATAAGAAAATTATGGCTTTGGCCATATAACATCTAAAAATATTCAAGAATATTTTTTATACAAGGTTGTACAGGCAAATTATACACAACTGTTGATAGCATATCAAATTATCGAACAATCGGTTGAGAGTTATCGATAAGTCGTTACAACAACCATTTGTGACGTCAAAGCAGGTATAAAAACATGACTACAAAAAAAAACATGATTAAACATGAAATTGCATGCAGCGCCGTTCGCTTCAGCTTCAATGAATCGAATAATTAAAGCTTTCACGAACTTTTAAATAAACTTGTAATTTATGCATAGCTGCGAAAAAGGCTGAGCGCAACCAATTGGATGAATGCTATTAATGTTTTATTTTTTTTTATTAATATTCGTTCGATAAGATATTTAACTGTAAAACTGTTATCACAGGGCGTGCTCTCTCTCTCTCTTTCTCAACATTGCTGGAACCGTTATGATTCACTTACCTGTGTGTCATTCAGTATCTCCAGGTGCTCACCCTTGCGGAAGCTCAAGTCCTCGTCTGTGCGCGCATCGTAGTCGTAGAGGGCGACAAATATTTTGGCATTCGCATTGGCTGCATCGCTTTCGGGTATCTGCGGCACCGGACGTATCTGCTCCGCCGGCTGTCCGGGCATGGGCATGGCTATTTGCGGCACGCCCACACCGACGCCGACCACACCAATGCTGGCGCCGGGATCATCCAGCGGATTGCGTACATCGCCAGCATGTGGTTTGTCGTTGTCCGGTTTTTGTGTGCGTAGACAATTGCCCATTGTGTGATTGAAGTGGGGAGTAGAAGTTTCGCTGAAGTTTGGGCCAAATAACGGACGCTCAGTGCGTAAGTTGTGACGTATTAAATGCGATGAATGGAAGCCAAGTTGATTTTACTGTTGCAGTTGTGGAGTAACTGTTACTTTCACTCACACACAGACGCGCACGCAGCTGAATGCACGCCAATTACAATTCAATTGCACTCGTTTGTTTATACTGAGGACGACAAACACACACACGCATGCAAACGCCAACACACACACACTCACACACAAGTTCACAATTCGTTGTTGTTGTTGCTTATTTGCTCACTCGCGATCAACATGGGGTGTTGGCACTTATCTCTCTCGCTCTTCTGCTGCCTATGTTTGTTGCGCGTTGAACCTAGCGCCGCGTCAGTTCATCAATTTATTTATGTTGGCTTATTGTGGGTGTTGCAATTTATTGTTACACGCACTGCCACTGTTTATGGCTATTATAATTTATTGCAGCACTCTCTAACTAAATTAAATGCTTACACACACACAAACTCGGCGTATGTATTTTTCTGATTTTTTGCATGTATGTGTGTGTATATGTTGTATGTGTGATGCTGATGGTCAAACAACAAGACGAACGCGACCATTAAAAAAACAATTCAAAAACACTGATAAACTATTAAAACACATGCACACATTATTATTCTAATCTTTTTGATCACTTATTGCATTTCTTTTACATTTTTAAGTTATTTAATTTACGAGTTTCAGCTGCAGCGAAAATGGCTCCCCGAAAACCTGCGCGACAGACGATAGCGCTGCTAAAGCGATAGCATCGATACATGTGTGCCCATCAGAGGCTTGCACAGCGACTAATATCGAAATGCAAATTTGTATCGATGTGTTAAAATCGAATAATGTTAACCAACATTATGTTCAGTTACGATAGTTAACAGCTGTAAGCAATATTTATGTGCCTTTTTCACAGATGCTCAAACAATTGAACAAGATTTGAACATTTATTTTTTTTAAATATTGTTTTCTAAAAAAATGCATCAATAAAATTAACAATTTTATTATTTTACGAATATTAACGGCTTCGAAAAATGCAAACTTGTATGGAACTAACAGAAAATACTCAATGAACGAACGTGTTGTGTTCATTTAGTTCAGTTATTCATCTGAGCGAGCCGTTTACGAACCATTAAACCATTAAATAAAACTCACAATTTCCAAAAAATTTATTCTTCATTTGGCGAGCGTTCGATACGGAAGCGGAGCTCTCCAATTAATTTGGAAATTTTTTTTTTTCATTGAATTATATATTTGCACAAAATGGATATAAAATCGTTTTTGTTTTCATATTGTGCCAAGAATCAAACCGAACCGAAGTTCGAAGTGCGTCCAACGGGTAAGTGCCATGCACGGTCACAATAGCCGGTGGCATATTTTTCCGTTTTCCGATTTCGTTAAGGAATATCGATTTTTTAGGACCAAAGCACCGCCAGCGTTTTCTGTGCGAAGTGCGCGTAGATCAGTGCCCATATGTGGCCGTGGGCAACTCCACCAATAAAAAGGACGCCGAGAAGAATGCCTCGCGCGACTATGTCAACTATCTGGTGCGCGTCGGCAAACTAAATGCCAAAGATGTGCCAGCGGATACGGCTGGATCAGCTTCGGCAGGTGGTGCTGAGGCAGGCGGTGGTGGCGGCGGACGCATCACGGGTGGCCAGCAGCGACGCTTCTTTGGTGATGCATCGCGGGGCCCACAGGATCTGGGCGAGGCCTATCGCCCGCTGAATCATGACGGCGGACGCGACCGCTTCAACATTATCGATCATGTCCAGGAGCAAAAGGACATGAACGAAGCCGAATCGATTGACGTGAACGCGGCCATACACGGCAACTGGACCATCGAGAACGCCAAGGATCGCTTGAATATATATAAACAATCGAACAACATACGCGACGATTACAAGTATACGCCCGTGGGCCCGGATCATGCTAGGTACGTAGCCGCCACGCCGCCTGACAGCCAGCTGCTTGGCTGCGCTTCTCTATGATTTAGTTTTGGTTTCTTTTATTTTTTTTTTCTGTATGGCAAGCTGCGCACTGGATTTAGCGTTTGCTCTGGCCTAAATCTGGAGCGCAGCTCGTAAGTTATGGCTTATCGACTGCTGTGCGCAATCCATGAACAAAACAAAACATCACAGATATACCGCAAGCAAATGCACAGAAGCATAAAGAGACAGTAAACGCTCGATAAGGTGCACACAATGAAAAGCTTTCAACTCTTTCATATTAGGTAGATTTGTGTTTTTAGTTAAAAGTTGTCTATAATCATTTTGTGGTTTAGTTTTAACGAGAAAGACGAATTAGCTTCGGTTTGCCGAAGCTTAAATACCCTTTCAGATGTGCATATGCATATATTATATATATTCAAATGATTGTTCCGATGTGAGCTACTATATGATATGGTAATACGATGTTCATCATAAAACAATTGCATTCATGACTTTGCTTGTAAGATCCTATTTGCTTTGGCAGCTATATGATATAGTATTTCGATCCGATCGACTGCGTTATGTGCCTGCCCAAGTTATACCAAGTTTTAACGGAATATCTCTAGAACTGTAACTAGAAAGACTTTATTATGATCTCATCTGCAGGGGTATAAAAAGTGTGTTGGCTTTCTCAGCGTTGAACTGATTTAACAACATTTGTCACTCTCTTTTTTTCACTTGTTTCCATATATATATATATGTTTAGTGTATTTTTTGTATTTTGAAAGAGTGTTGCGTCTATCGAGCGTGTACTGTACTTAAATACAAACGCGACATGCTGCTGGGCTTTCAGAGCGATTTGGCACAACAGATACAAAAGTAAAGACGGGGCGCCTTGCATATATAAAGACATATATATGTATATATATTGATTTGAGATTGAGTTGTAATATACGTGCGCATTGTGGCTCTGAAAGCTCCGGCAAACCGTTTAAAAGAGGGAGAGTTCCCAACAATTGCGCACAGCATGTTGAGTTTTCGATGTCTTGACCGATATGGTAAGTGTGGAAAGGTTGTGCACGAAGCATTAACAATTAAATTGTCTATTGCACTCAACCAGGAGCTTTATGGCGGAGCTGTCCATATTTGTGCCGGCCCTGAAGCGCAAGGTGACCGCACGTGAGACCGGCTCCAACAAGAAATCGGCCAGCAAGTCGTGCGCCCTGTCGCTGGTGCGTCAGCTATTCCATCTAAAGGTAATCGAGGCCTTTAGCGGCACACTCAAAAAGAAGAAGGACGAGCAACTGAAGCCGTATCCGGTTAAGCTAGATCCGCAGCTCATCGATAGCGTTGACGAGGTGATCAAGGAGCTGGAGTTGCCCGTGGTTAATCCACGCAACATCAAAGTGGAGCCCGATGCTGCGCCCATGTCGCTGATTGTAAGTGCTGCCGGCATTATTCTCGCAGCTCTACTAATCCTTCTCATTGTAGGTCGCTGCGAATCGCTTGGACACCAACCAGGAGATCGAGACACGCGCACGCCAGGAGAATATTGCCGTTATACCCTGGACACCGCCGCAGCCCAACTGGAATGCCTGGCATGCTTGCAACATCGATGAGGGCGAACTGGCCACCGCCGCGGTGGATGATCTGTCCATTGAGTATGAGCGTCAGTTGTGTGAGCGTCGCCAGAATAATCCCGAGTACCGTCAGTTTCTGGAGTTTCGCGATAAGTTGCCAATTGCAGCCATGCGCTCGGAAATCATGACCGCCATCAACGAGAATCCGGTTGTCATTATACGCGGCAACACCGGCTGCGGCAAGACCACACAGATCGCCCAGTATATACTCGATGATTATATTACCTCGGGCCAGGGCGGCTATGCCAATATTTATGTGACCCAACCGCGTCGCATATCGGCCATTTCGGTCGCTGAGCGTGTCTCACGCGAACGTTGCGAGCAACTGGGCGATACTATTGGCTATTCGGTGCGCTTTGAATCCGTTTTTCCACGTCCATATGGCGCCATACTCTTCTGCACGGTCGGCGTTCTGCTGCGAAAACTGGAGGCGGGTCTGCGCGGCATATCGCACATTATTGTCGACGAGATACACGAGCGCGATGTGAACAGTGACTTTTTGTTGGTCATTTTACGCGACATGGTCGCCACCTATCCGGATTTGCACAGTATGCTATAGCTGGATTTCTTGCTCTTAATCCTTGTGCTCATTTTATATCGCAAATTTTTTTTCTAGTTGTTTTGATGTCCGCTACAATTGATACAACTCTCTTTTCGAAATACTTTGGCGACTGCCCCGTGCTGGAGGTGCCTGGACGCGCCTTTCCGGTGCAGCAATTCTTTTTGGAGGACATCATACAAATGACTGGCTTTGTGCCCTCGGCAGAGTCGCGTCGCAAGCGCAAAGAGGCCGATGATGAGGAGCAACTGTTGCTCAGCGACAATCAGGAGGAGGGTGAGCAGAATCTGAATAAAGTGTGCGAGGATAAGTACTCGCTGCAGACACGCAATGCGATGGCCATGCTGTCCGAATCGGATGTCAGCTTCGAGCTGCTCGAATCGCTATTGCTGCATATCAAATCGAAAAACATTCCCGGCGCCATTCTGGTCTTTCTGCCCGGATGGAATCTGATCTTTGCTTTGATGAAGTTCTTGCAAAGCTCGAACAATTTTGGTGATCCACAACATTATCGCATCTTGCCCTGCCACTCGCAGATACCGCGCGATGATCAACGCAGGGTTTTCGAGCCGGTGCCCGATGGCATCACCAAGATCATTTTGTCAACAAACATTGCCGAGACTTCGATAACTATTGATGATATTGTCTTTGTTGTGGACATATGCAAGGCGCGCATGAAACTCTTCACGTCCCACAACAATTTGACCAGCTATGCGACTGTCTGGGCCAGTAAAACCAATTTGGAGCAGCGCAAGGGTCGAGCCGGACGTGTACGTCCCGGCTTTTGCTTTACGCTCTGCTCACGCGCACGTTTCGCCCAGCTGGAGGAGAACTTGACGCCGGAAATGTTCCGCACACCGTTGCATGAGATTGCGCTAACCGTGAAGCTATTGCGCCTCGGCGCCATACATCATTTTCTGTCCAAGGCATTGGAGCCGCCGCCAGTGGATGCTGTCATCGAGGCGGAGGTGCTGTTGCGCGATATGCGCTGCCTGGATGCCAATGATGAGCTGACTCCGTTGGGCCGCCTGTTGGCACGTTTGCCCGTCGAGCCGCGTCTGGGCAAGATGTTGGTGCTGGGCGCGGTGTTTGGCTGCGCTGATCTGGTGGCCAGCATGGCCTCCTATTCCAGCACCTTCTCGGAGGTGTTCGCCTTGGACATTGGACAGCGCCGTTTGGCCAATCATCAGAAGGCTCTGAGCGGTCGCAAATGCTCCGATCATGTGGCCATGATTGTCGCCTCACAGATGTGGCAGAGTGCCAAGAAGCGCGGTGAGCACGAGGAGGCACGCATCTGCGACTGGAAGGGTCTGCAGATGTCCACAATGAATGTAATGTTTGATGCCAAGCTTCAGCTGCTCGATCTGCTGCAGCAGGCCGGCTTTCCGGAGGAGTGCATGTTGCCGCATCACGTGAATGCCAATTCGGATGATCCCGAGCTGGATATATCCCTCGCCTTGCTCTGCCTGGGTCTCTATCCCAACATTTGCGTGCACAAGGAGAAGCGCAAGGTCCTGACCACCGAATCGAAGGCTGCCCTGCTGCACAAGACCTCGGTGAACTGCAGCAATCTGGCCGTGACCTTCCCCTATCCGTTCTTTGTCTTTGGCGAGAAGATACGCACACGCGCCGTCTCTTGCAAGCAATTGTCCATGGTGGCGCCGCTGCAGGTGATGCTCTTTGGTTCGCGCAAAATCGATCTGGCGGCCAATGGCCTGGTGCGCGTGGATAACTGGCTCAACTTCGAAATGGATCCGGAGCATGCGGCCAAAATTGGTGCACTTAAACCGGCCCTTGAGGATCTGATTACCATTGCCTGTGACAATCCCAGCAATGTACTCCAACTAGATGAACCCTACGCCCGGCTGGTGCGCGTAATCAGGGAACTGTGCGTCCAGAATGCCGGCGACTATGAGCTTCAGCGTGAATGCGGTGTGTTGCCCCACATGTCGCGCAACGTTGCCAGCGGCAACAACGCTGGCGGCGGACCAGCTAAACGTGGGCGCTACGATAGTGGTCCTGGTTACGGTGGCAGAAGCGGAGGCTATGGCGGTGGCGGTGGTGGTCGCCGTTATGGTGGCGGCGGAGGCTATGGCAACCGTGCAGGTGGCTTCAACAATGGTGGCGGAGGCGGTTTCAATAGTGGTGGAGGCGGTGGCTTTAATAATGGTAACGGTGGTGGCTTCAATAGAGGAGGAGGCGGCGGCGGCGGCGATGGCTACAATAATGAAGAAGGAGACGGCGGCTACAATGAAGGAGGCGATGGCTACAATAATGGAGGAGGCTTCGGCGGCTTTAACAATGGCGGAGCAGGCTTTGGCAGCGGCAACAACTTTCAAAGTGAGGGCGGCAACTGGGGCGCCTTTTCCAATCGTCGCTTTTAAATATTTTTTTAATATTAATCCTTACCTTTGCTATGCATTATAATTATGTCTGATTACAAATAAAATATAAATATCTACGATCCATAATCGTATCACAAAAACAACGCACAGAGTTTGCTGTATTATGATTAATATGATTGATATGATTCAATTATGAAGATTATAAATTAATTATAAATAAGTATTTAATTGTATATAAATTATGTATCATAGTACTCCAGCTGGCACTCGATGCTGCAGAAGTACTTGGCCAACAGTCGCTCCTCGCTGATGAACGCCGCATTGAGGCAGGTGTGGCACCAGCGTTTGCGCTTGATGCTGGCCAACAGCTCGTCCGGCGTTAGCGCATATTCAGCCTTTGGGCTGCGGGTCTGGCACTGTGCTTGGTGGACGCTCAGCTCCCAGTCCCAGCGCTTGTCCAGCTTCCAAATGTGAGTTAGTTCGTCCAGAATCCGGGGACTGTGTAGATTTGCCGGTTGCTCGTGGAGTAATTTGCGCAGCTTTTTCGTTGCGCATTTAAGGCGTTCGTAGTTTTTGGCATATTTGTGATCCATTTCAATTAAATGTTTGACATGAAAGGTTTGTGTGGGTTTTGTTGCTGTTTTTTTGGCAGCGTTTTCGTTTTTTATTGCGGTTTTGTTTTTCAGGCGCTCCGCTGAAAAGTCGAAGGGTATAGTTACATCAGAGTCTTCGTCTGAGCTAATATATACTATGCTGGACATTGCTAAAGATTTATAATAAATCCTTGGCCCTGCCGTGGAAGACAATAAAATTAAAAAGTTTGCATTTCAGCTGACCACGAATTTGCCGTTATGTTTGAACAAGGGCTGCCAAATGTATGACCAGGGCTGCAGCTAAATGCTTAGTCCAGGCGTTTGAATCCTTTTCTATTCTTTTCCTTAAGCTAATTTTTAACCATTCAGTTTTTTTTTGTTGTTGACATTTTAAATTTGTTTTAGTTATTTCGATTATCATCAGCAATTTAAAATTTTAAAATCTTTTAAATTTTGAAACCTAACAGCCACTTTAACAGCTTAGCAACTCTGTCTGGTTGAGTAGCTGTTGCAGCGTACCAAGCTTATTATTTTGAACTGATTCTATCGACATGTTATCGATTATTTGCGCCGCCATTCAATTAAAATAAGCGTCGTTTGCTTTTTTGTGCGCGCGGTTTTCTGTTGCATTTTGGTTGTACTATCTGACTTGTATTACATTGTCTACTGTATATTCTAGTTAAGTATTGTCGAAAAACGATGGATTTCGATAATGCCAAGGAGAACATACAGCCCTTGGCAAGTGGGCGCAATGTCAGCCTGCTGCAGGCATCGCTATGCCAGGACGCCTCACAGGAGCTGAACGCGCAGCGCAAGCAGCTGGAGCTGGACATCAAGAACTACACTGGCGACGATCCGCTGGAGCCATGGTATGCCTATATATGCTGGATTGAGCAGAGCTATCCGGCGGGCGGCAGCAATTCCGGCCTGCAAAAGGTCATGCACAAATGTCTGACCCGCTTCGAGCAGGACGAGCGCTACAGACAGGATCCACGCCTGATCAAGTTGTTTATCAAATTCGTAAGTCTGTGACTTGGGTTATTGATAAAACTTAATAGCTCCCTTGTCTGACAGATGGGCAGCCAGGGCGATCAGATTGAGTGCTATCAGCAGATGTACAACAGCGGCATTGGCACCATGCTGGCAGATTTCTATATAGCCTGGGCCTACAGCTACGACCTGAGCGGCAATATGCGCAAAGCAAACGAGATCTTTCGCCTGGGCGTTGATTGTCGCGCCGAGCCGCTGGAGGAGCTCAAGGAGGCGCAACAGCATTTCGGCTACACGGTCGCTCAGCGCATGCTCTACAGCGAGGGCGAGGAGACAACTGCTGTCACACAGGAGCTCAATGATCGCCGCCTGGCGTTGCGTTCGCTGCACGGCCAGAAACGCAAGAATACGCTCACCGTCGGCAGCGTGCGCACGGGCGCGGCTATCCGGAGTAATATGCCCGGCGTGGTGCACGTAAGTTTCAGAAGAAAAACAAAAATACAAAAAGAAACTAAACTCCTTTTCATTCCAGAACGTTGGAGCCAGCACCAGTCGGGCGGGTCGCAATGCCAACCGTCAGCTAGAGGTGTTCAACGATGAGAACGCGGATTTCAATGTGCCGCCACCGCCACCAATCGCTGAGCTAGAGACGCCGGCGGACGGCAAATCCAGTCTGCGTTCCATAATCGATGCAGCACGCCAGCAGGAGAATCTCAAAGAGCCCATAGCCTGGAGCAAGCCGCACAAGCATGGCAAAATCTTTGCCTCGACGGCCGCACACGATCCGGCCTTTCCCATACACGTGGACGAGAAGGCGCTGCCGCCGATTGTTGATCCCGATGGCAAAACGCTGAAGCCCTTCAAATATCCACCCAACTTTAAGCCGAAAAATACACCACAGGAGCCTTGGGTAACACCGGTAACCATTGAGGATGAGCCGGACACCAATACGCTGCCCTGCTACAATAAATGCATGCTCTATCCGCGTCCCAATATGGAGTTCTCGCCCGAGGAGTATCGTGCCTATTGCTGGTTCAGGCGTCGCAACGAACAGCATCCGTATGTGCTGCGCAACGAGGCCTGGTGGGGTAATGGTGCTGCTTTTGGCGTGCGTCGCTATCCAAACTTTGCCAGCGTATCGAAGCCGCAGGCACGCGACGAGCTGGATGCATATTACAAGCCACCGGCGGTGCCGTCTCTAGCTACATTGCTGGACAAGGTCTACAATGATGAAGAGCAGCAGGAATATCAGTTGGAGGAGCTGCTAGTAGCCAAATGGCGCCAGAAACTTATCACACAGCGCGGCGTCATGGACATGGAGGAGACGGTCTGCCTGCCGGGCGAGCAAATGCCGCGACGCAAGAGTTTCTTTCCCAATCTGCAGCCGGGCTCGAGCAGGAAGTCGATTATGCCGCGCATATCCTGTGTCATGGAGGAAGACGAGGACAGGGAGGCAGAGGAAGAGCAGTTGAAGCAGCAGCAGCAGCAGGTTGAGAAGCCAAAGACACCTGAGCCCCTTGTCATGCAAATATGGGAAGATCCTGCCGCAGAGGTCTTGCCCCCAATGCCAACTGAAAGTGTGGCTCCAACTCCGATTCCCACCCCAATCCCAGCTACAGCTGTAACATCTCCACCCGAGGATAAATTTGTGATGCCTGCCCCGCCCACACGCAAAATTGAAATATTCGAAGATGATGTGATGCTGCCGCCGCCGGCTACAGTGAAGCCAGTGCCCAGCGTTTTCTTTGATGCAGATGAGACGTGTTCCACGCAAATGTTTAACATATTCATAAAATCGCAGGCAGTGAGCACGCCTAAAGCGCCACAGAAACAGGCCCCGGCACGACAATTTGGCACCTTACTCAAGGAGACTCCGCCGCCGCTGCCAACAGCAGCACCAGCTGCCACATTGCCGCCCGCGAGCGAGGAGCCAGCCGAATCGGAAGCGGCGATCGCAGCCGCTGGCCAGACGGTATCGCCCATGCTGCGCAAACAGCTGTCGACCATACTGGAGACATCGGAGCATGGTGTAGGCGCCACAAATGGCACCACCAAATCCACACTGACCAGCACCACATCGACCACATCCAACACGAACAGCACATCGCCCAGCTTGCAGGCGACAGCCTTTATGCTGAGCAACACGCCGGGACCGACGCGTCTGCAGCGACAAATGGTCAGCGAGCTATCCGTAGTGGGCGAGGAGCCGACGGCGGCTGGTAATTTTCAGCGCTTGGAGCTCTGGGAGCCGAATGCGCCCAGTGTGCCCCTGCTGAAATCGCTGCGTTTTCAGGAGGACAAAACAGAAACGGTGCCCAAGCCGTTGATGGCCTGTTACCAGGAGGACAAAACGGAAACGTTGCCAAAGCTGCCGCTCACATTGCCGGACATGGCGAACGCATCGAAGCTGCTGCTGCAGCCGTCGGTGCCGCAGCTGCCAACGGAATACGACGATGACGATGACTTGTGCGGACTGTTCGCCAAGACTCCGCCCAAGACAAAGGCATTCGGCTCGCCGCTCTACGCGGACAGCTCGAAGCGCATGTGCGAGCAGCGCACACCCGAAATATTCAGCAAATCCATTAAGCATGTGGAGCCCGCTAAGAAGAACTCCTTTGAGGTCTTTAAGGATGAGAGCTATGCGCTGTCGGGTCTTAAGCCCAGCAGCAAAGCGACGAGCAGCGTCAACAAACTGGCCGATTCCCTTATGGCGGATCTCTCCTTTGTGCCGGAGACGCAGCAGCCAACGGCTTTGAGGGATAGAAAAAGTCAAGCGGCGGCACAAAAGAAATTTGAGATCTTTCTGGATGAGAGCATGCCGCCGCCGCCGGTGGCGCCGCCCATGATGAACTGCACCCTGCCCGAAACGCAATCGGATACGATTGGCCCGGCGCATTTGACGGCTTCCTTCATGAAGGATCTGAGCAGCTGTCCCCTGCCGCTGCCTGTGCCCGTTAAGAGTCCAGCGACGGTAGCTCAACAGAATTTCGAAATATTTTTGGATGAATCCTTGCCAAACATGCCGCCGCCGCCGCCGCTGGCGCTTGACCCAATGGACTGCACGTTGCCCGAAACGCAGCCGCAAGGCGCTGCGGTGCTGGATCACCTGGAGACGGTCGGACCGGCACATCTAACCGCTTCCTTTATGAAGGATTGCACAGAGTTGAGCAAGTGCCCGTCGCCGCCATGCACGTCCGGCAATCGCTCCACAACGCCAGCAGCCACAAAGAGCACAACAAAGCTTAAGTTTCTGCAGGATTTGGAAAAATCCAGCACACAGACGGAGTCCAACAAAGCTGCCAATGATTACTTTGAACTAAATGCCGCCACCGAAATGTTTGCCAGCAACATTAGCATGATCAAGAACTCGACGCTGCTGCCCGAGACGCGCAAGCGCAGTAACTCGCCCGCTCCAGTTGCAACAGCCGCTCCTGTGCCCGCTCCAGCTCCAGTCGTTAGCCAGCCCGTACCGCTTATTGTTCTGGACGAGCCCGAAGACGATGAACGCAGCATTTATTACAAGGCCACGCCGCTGACAC